TTTTTTTTTCACATGCGCAAAGAATAATATAGTGAATTATGATCAGAATTTAATGCTGATTCTCATGACATAATTTTTTTTCCGATATATTGAAGAATGATAAATATCATTAATTTTTTTATTCTTTTCAACAGTTCCTTTTATAGATTAACAAAAATCACAGAAAATGTATCTTTTCAAAACTATTTTTCGTATTTTCGAATTGAACCGCTAGTATGTTGTAGCCGTAACATTTCTGAAGAGATTTGCCAGCAGAAGTTTAAGTGAATTTTGAAGTTTGTCTATGGCAAATGAACGAAATACTAAAAGATGGTGGATCTCCAGCTAAAATAGCTGGCGCGTTCGCTTTATGTACATTTTCTTGCTGGGCGTTCGCTTTATGTGTAATGCACATAAAGCGAACGGAAAGTTTTTTTTTATAAATGGAATAAAAAAATAAAATTAAGCTCGATTAAGCTGAACCGCTAGAGAATGATAGAGTTAAAGATGACGAATCGAATGATATAAATTTCATAAAATTTCATTGAAATCTGTGAACAGAAATAGATAAATATTGTACTCTTTTTATTTTCGCTTGTTTTTTGCTGGCGCGTTCGCTTTAAGGACATTTTCTTGCTGAACGTTCGCTTTACGAACATCGCACATAAAGCGAACGTTTTTAATTTTTAATTTTCTACCGCTGATTACTCAACAATTCTTATAGCTACAAAAATTTTTTTTATATGAGCAGATGCAGAATTTTGTTTTCTTTCCCGTGATATAAAAATAATTATTTTATGACGAAAAATGATAGAGATATCACAGTCACAATGAAGACCTATGAAACGTCCGTTCGCTTTAGGCACATTGTCTATATGCGCACTTCTTCTATCCAGTATTTGTTCTTAGGATCAGATATATTTATAATTAATTTTGTTATTTGATTTTTGAATATGTCAATTAAACGATTTTCCTCTAAATATAAATATATATGAAATGTGTAAGGAACTGTAAAAATTTCGATAATTGAAAATGAAGTTGAAACCTTACCATTAAATAAATGTTGAGCTATATCTTCGGTCATATTGAATAAAGCAAGTCCATTTAAATTGGGATATTTAGCAGCAAGAAGAATACGCTCCACAGATGACGATTCAGTGCCAAGCCATTCAACATTATGATGAATTTTAGGTATTATTTTTTTACAAAATCGATCAAGTACGGTATCAGATAGTGGAGAGATAAGATTATCAATTGACCATTTCAATAATGTTAAACGATTAGTAAGATTTGAAACATGTAGAATTTTATTGAATCGTATATTAACATCCATTAAAGAGTAAAGTAGCTGGATATTATCTAATTTTTTAAATATCATTATAAGTAACTCATCAGGTAAATCAGTTATTTGAATGTACGAATGTTCCATATTTGTTCTCAACGAATGGATGGAAAAAGGCAGAAAGGAAAAATATCGAAAATAAAAACGTCGAAAACAAAAATATAACATGAGGATGAACCAGTAAAGTCGAAGATGAGGGTGAGGGAGATTGTTACTTGAATGTACTCTCGTTTTCATCATTTACATTCATCTACATTTCTATTATTCGTGTTTTTGATATCTTTATTTTCAACATTTTTCCTTTTCAATATATTTCTTTTCTGCCTTTTTTCCATCATACCCTTTTTTTTCTATGCTATTAATTGACAATGGCTGAATGAACAAAGAATACGATTTCTCTCTTATTAACTGAAACATTCTCACCTGAATGGTGATAGGTCGTAAGAGGAAGCGACAGGACGATAGTAAAAGATTGAAATTAGCGGCGTAATGAACATCAGACGTTTCTTATGCATTATGAGATATATCGAACAGGACAAGTAAACGAAAAAAAAATGAAAATAACTAGGTTCCGAATAGTTTTCTTCAGATCTAGTTTCAATTAATTATAGTTTGATAAAGTTAAATAAGATTTGTAAACGAGTATTCATTATTACTGATGTTACGATTCCTATTTTACAACAAAAAAATGACGTTACTAACGCAAGAACTTTTTTCTTTCTTTTGCTCTTCGGCTATAATGAAATATACTGTTTCGTGATAGTCGAAGTTGTTTTGACCCATCACTACATTCGAAAAACATTTACAAAGTTCCTTTAATGATGATGCAATAAATATAATAATATGATCAGAATAATGTTTGCATTTAGACGACAGAAATCATCCTCTCATTAATAACAAAAAGAACATTTTCATTTTAATCACAATGCTCCCATTCTCACATTGTATTGCTCATGTAAGTCACACCAATCGGTTTGAAAATATAATTAAAATAAAAAATGTACTTAAAATGGTAGTAAACTAGAGACAAAAGGTTATGTCTGAATCAAGGAGAAAAGAATAATTCTGTACTTCTTCGTCTTTCCATATAGAATCTACTGGTGTATGACTATTTAAATAGATTCAATTTCTCCATATTGACCTTCTTCTAGTGAAAGACTAATCATCTATAATAAAAATATAAGAAAAAAACGACTTGTTAATGAAACCTCTATTGAACATTTTTCAGCATCAATATATATAAAATAATGCTTATCTTTTTTCCATGTTGACACATTCAACCCGATGAGACCCGCCGGTGGGTCTCACTATATTGTACAGTGATTAGTCGGCTATGAAAACAAAATGTTCTCAGAAAGCTTTTTCGTCTATCAGACTTTGTAGAGCTCTCTTTGCCGATCATTTTGATAGAAAGATTTTGAAATTTGATAAATAAATGACGGTACTAGAGTGGAAACATTGAAAAAAAGGAAACAGATCTGTCTGCTAGAACTATGTTTTTTTTAGTATTTTGACTCTAGTACCGTCATTTATTTATCAAATTTAAAAAAGCTTTTTTATTAAAATGATCAGCAGAGAGCTCTGCAAAGTTCGATAGATGAAATATTTCCTGAGATCTATTCGTTTTTCGTAGTGGACTACTCATTAAAAATGCTCAATTATATGTCTGAAAATTTTGGAACTTTTGGTAATTCTTTAGCACATAGTCATTCAATGAATTGCTAGTTATACTACTAAATCCCGTTTTCGACGAAGGTGCATTTGGCATAATATTTGATGTTGCTATCATTTGTATTTTGAGCTGTACCTTCTGGAAAAATATTATTTGCTATCTTGTAGAATCAAATCGGGTTCAATGTGTTAAACAATTGTTTATAATTGATTAAAAAGGTTTACTAATTCATTCAAATCTTGTTTAATAACAATATGAAGTGAATAATAAAAAATTCACATATTTTATGGAACATGTGAATACATTTCACGTATTTCTATTTTATGCTCATCTTTATTTGATAATGAACTAAAATAATTATCCTTTATGTTTGGTAAGAAAATATTCAACATAACGAATACATTCACAAAAACATTATAACCAAAGAATATTGACGCCTCAATATACATTCAAATTGAAATAAAAGTGAAATGAAATGCTTAATCAGTTGTATTTACCTTAAACCCTCTGTATTCATTCTATGTTCACTGAGTAATTTAACACACGCTACTATTCGATGATAAATGATCGCATAGAATAGTGGACATCGATGATGAAAGGGTGTGGGTGTTGTACTTCTGTTCACTCTCATCCACACCCACACACCCACACTCTACTACTTTTGTTTCAGAGGCGATTAGCACACTTTCATTTTGACTTGCTATATCAGGCTTCTAGTCGCATTTCT